TGGCAGCATTCAAATTCACGATTCCGTGACAAGGCAAAGCATTCGCATTCGCATTCACATTCACGCGTACATGTAGGCTCGCATTCGTGATTCGAGCTTCAAAGCTTCAAATTTGTGATTCTAGAAGATTGCGGGCTTGCAGGCAGGCTCCCCCAGCTCGACTCCGACGTCACACCCGAGCCGAAACGTGGGGTTGCATCGTTCACTGCATGCTCTTCCGTGCGAGCAACGTCGTTTCAGACATTGGTGGTTCGCACTCCAATTTATAGGTCGGTCGCGGCACGTACAGCGGTCAACAATCGTGAGTGCTAGTCTAATGAGAGTGCGCAAGGCCTTCGATCGCAACGTGTTGTATGGTCCGTGTTCAATAAAGCTCTCTTGCGCTTTGACGACAAAAATCAAATCACTCATGGCTCGTCGCGAATTGCGAAACACAAATTCAAGGCTTTGCTGGAACATTCAAGATTCAATCTTACGGTCGAAGGACATTTTTGCTTGGCCTGCCGCGGTTGGTGCGTGCTGCACCTGACAGACCTGCCCCGGAAAGAAATCGCGACTCGGTAAGTTTGATCGGCTGTATGCCGCAAGGAATCAAAAATCAAGAATCGTGAATGTAGCTCTCGAGTGCCTCGCTTTTACTCACGTGCGGGTACTTTTATCAGGACGCTCGACGAGCAATAATGCCGTATGCCGACGACACTGCCTCCCTGTTCAGCACGACAACGACCTTGCTAGAGCTGCCGAGCCTCACTCGGGAGGGTACGAGCGGATTCGATGCCACGTCGTTAGAGTGTGGTGGTCATTTGAGCGCAGAGGAGACCTTTGTCACCTTTATATGCTCCTACAAGAATTACAACCCAGATGATCACTTTTTGAAGTTGCTTGAGGTGCGTGGTTGATGGTGGCCAAATTACAGGACCTCCCCCCTATGACGGAGCACAAAGCCGACATGATCCTCTGCACGCCCAGCGGGTTGGATGCCCAGCGTCATTTGGCAGGAATTCGGCCACGGGATTGACGTCTCTAAAGAAACGCTTGAGCGTGCAGATCCCTCGCAGGTTCCTGCTGCAATCGCCCACTTTTCACCGCAAGTAAGTCTGCACCGTCTGTCAGGCCGACTTTTCCTCGTTGGTGGTGCATTCAGCTCAAATACATAACTCGCTGTCAGTCCTCGCGATGAGGCTGAGGTGCAACGAATCGTAAACGACACCAAAGCGAAGACAAGTGAAGCGATCAATACACTGTTCGACTCTGAGCGCCCCACGCTCCTGCTCGTCAGGGAACGTGAAGTGCTGGGCGTGATCATCACAGCTTTGCTCAAAGCTCTAGACTTGAGCAATCCTCACTTCGTTTACCCAGCACCAAGCATCGTACAAGCGCCAAAATGGGCGACTGTCAAAAACGCATCCTTCATGGCCGCTGCATCGGCTGATGTCAAGTGGGCGACATTGACCATACTGACCCCTCCTGCAGAAGGACAGACCAACGAAGTGACAAAAGAGCAGGAAGCAGCTTACCTGAAGGACCAATATGGCTCCGGTGCCAAGACGCACACAACCAATGCCGAGGTGCGCCGTGATAGACTACTCTTCTCCAGGCAAGACGGCTGCTCTGACGTCACTTTGCTACCCATGAATCCGTGCTCATGCTAAGCTGCTCGCTGCAATGTGGGAGCCAGAGTGAGCAAAGTCGCTCGAGAAGGGGCTAGGCAGGTGCGACGCTGACCTTTCATCTCCCTGATCTCACTACTAGCGACGCCGCCGAGCAACAGCTTGATCGCGTTCTCGAAGCACTCGAGAGACGAGGCGGCATCTGGACGGTGAGAAGATGAAGTGAAGCATACGAAGATGACCATTCTCTGCTAGCACTGTTGCTGAGTGGACTTTCTTGCTGCAGCACGCGGCGCACCGCTCGACTCCAGGCTTGCGAAATGCCGACCCGAAACAGAGACCCGAATTCATCGTCCGTGGCGTCTTTCCACTGAGTGAGTGAACTGCTCGTCTTCCACATCATCCACTCAACTCGTTCGACTTTTCCACGCCACTCTTGACCTCATGACGAAAGTCTTCATCGAGAGGTGCAGAAAGTACGCCGAAAAGCAGCGAATGCCAATGCCATCCGACGTGTCGCCCGAGACGAAAGCGAAATGGGCACCTATCATCACATCCGCGCGCGGTGTCGCCAGTGAGCATGGTGAGTGCACACTCACGACTGTCAGCGACACGAAATGCCGAAAAAAGGGCATGTGATTGACGCGTAATATGTCTGCGTGTAGAGCATCAATCCGAAGATGCTCTGGCAGGCTGCTCAATCCGTTGCACCGACGAGCCCTTCAAAGGGGCTAGATGGAATGATCGCTTCTTTACCAGCAACGTGGCAGGAGGGAGCGGCGCATGAGCAGATCAGAACGCGCACCGCTCCGTTACTCTGCTCGGATCTCGAGCGAGATCCAAGCTCCATCCAGAGTTCTTGGTAGACCGTCTCAAGGCAGGAAGGATGGGCACAGGACATCATCGAAAGAATCACTTGTACATACAGCCATGGGCACGAGGAAATGAAACAATTCTGCGGCGTTTTCAGTAGTCACTGTCGTTCGCATCGTCCTCCTCCTCGTCATCGCTTTCAGCGACGACTTTTCGAGCCCGGCCACGTGTTGGCCTGGTCTGCCGCTGTGGTGCCTTGGCAGATTTCGTAGGAGTCACGTTCTCATCATCCTCGTCCTGATCATCTTGGTCGTCGTCGTTGGAGTTGCCACGCTTCCGTGACCTGTGAGTAGCGAGAGCAGCTGCATTCTTCGGCATCGTGGGCTTCTTGAAAGCATTCTCACCCTTCTTGCGGCTCTTCTTCCTGGCGGCTGCAGCAGCGAGTGCAGTCTCTTCTTCTGCCTTGGCTTTGTATTGCTCAAGTATCTGTGAGGCGGAGAAGCCGTCGTGGTTCATGAGCAATCATCGGAAGCAATACTTATCAATGCTTAGGAAAACTTACTGCTTCGAATTCCGCCAGATCCCCTTCAGAGCCTGACATGGCAGCTGCAGCACCTGGCACGCGGCCTCGGCCTTTGATGGATTGCACGATGGCTTGGAAAGAGTTGTACACGCCGACATCGTGCAGCTTGTCTTGGTCTGCGACCGAAGTGGACAGGTCTCAGAAATTTGGCTGCTACTCGTATGCTTCGCTCCGCGCTTCTCGACTCACAAAAGGGCAGGCCTTCGATGAGGCGTTTGACGGACCTGTCGCTTTTGAAAGGAAGCAGGGACAAGCAGTAGGCTACGTCTCTCCACTGCCGCGGCTCGGTAGTCAATCGGAACCTGCATGGATCGTAGAGAGCAACGCGTCAGTCTTTCGTCGTGGAGATCGAGTGCAGCCGCATCACTGACCTCTGACACAATTTTTCAACGACATTCTCGGCCTGCTTCTCCTTGTCGATGAATTGGAAGATGTAGCCCATGATGCGGGCAAATTTGTCTTCATCTACGGCGTGAGCACCAATCGAAAGGTGACTGATGATGTCTGGCAAATTGTTGTAGACCGCATTCTCCTTGGTAGCCAGCTCGGAGAAGAAAAGCTTTGCAAGGTCTGAGACACGCTCCTCTGGGTCCTCGATGCATTTGGCCATCTCGCCGAGCTGACCCTTGACCTTGATCATTCCGTTCAAAATCAGATGGGTGAGGACCATGAGGGTGTGCTTCTTCACGCCAAGATCTCGGTCGGACAAGCCTGCGTACAAGCGCTCAGAATTTTCGTCTACCAGGTGCCCAAAAGAGATGGCAATGTCCCCCAGAGCAATGACGACGTTGGACCTCACGACTGCATCGGTGGAGCTGGCGACGATGGACAGGAGCAGAGGCAGATGCGCCTCGCAGTACTCGGAAGAGACACACATGAACTTGCACATAGACATGACGGCCGCTTTTCGCAGGTACTCGTTCTGACGGACCCATGCACTCGTCAGCATTGCGGGAGATAAGGTGAGATCCACTCACGGCACTCACCGGGTAAGCCTTTGGCGCGCTGCAGATTTGACCGCACACAGGTCCGAACAAAGCCAGCAGACTATTGTGGCCAAAGAGGAGCTCCTTTTCTCTGACTTCTCCGACGACGTCCCCGATCTCGTCTTCGGCGTTGCCAGCAACCTGGTCCAATTCATCGGTAGTCGGCGCATCGGAGCTAGGCGCATCCGCCTTGTCTCCTTTCTTGGAACGGCCATTCTTAGCTTTGCCCCCAGCTGTTTCATCCTCGCCCGCGTTTGCATCGCGAGCCGCCAGCTTGGCCTTGTCTGCCTCCGCCTTGCGGCGCTTGTACTCTCGCTCGATGAGCTCGATGTAGACGATTTGCTTGAGCGCCACGTGACCAACAATGAACAGAAGCTGTGCTAGCGAGAAAGCAGGTGCCAGAGATCCTTTGGACTGTTTGGCCGTCTGATTGTCCGGTTTCGGCGTGCCTTCGCGTACGGTCACATCATCTGCGTCTGAGCCCGTGTCCAAAATTGTGCCATCGTCGGAAGCGTCATCTCCAGCTTGTTTCAAGGCAGGTCCATGAGGTCCAAACACCCTAAGCGTCATGCTTCGAATGATCTCTGAGCAAAGTGCATCCGGCTGTTCGCCCAACAGATAGATCGTCTGAATCGCATTCTCTGCCAAGCTGAACCACTCGCCCTTGTCGACAGCAGCAGTCACAGCGACATTGCTGGGCGGAGCCTGCCACATGACAGCAGCGCGAAGCTTGGCAAACATGGGATGGCTCATCGGAAAGCGGACCTGCTCATCAGACAGAGCACCTTTGATCTTCTTGATGCTTCCTCCAACACGACTGAGTGCTACGCAGGTGTACTTGGCTAGAATGATGTCTTTAGAGCCCAAGGGTCCTAGGCCAACGCTCAGCATCGCATCGACATGGTCGGCCACGATCTCGCGATGGGCGACAGCCAGCATCGAAAGCACAATGATCGCACCGCGTCTCTGTGCACGAGGCATGGCTCGGGGAGCACTGTACACGCCCCAAAGCTTGGCGACAACCTCCGGATGGACCATGTCTTCAGCACACATTGTGCGGAGGAGCTCTTCCAAACTCGTGAGCTCAGCGAGGGTGGCGTTGAAGGTGCGCTCCACCATGTTGCGCGCAATGCGTGCCACATTGTCTCTTCCTGACAGATCGGGCACTGGATCGAAGTACAGCGCGCGGTACACTTCCAGCAGACGGCTGCGAATACCCTTGAGCTGGCTGCCGTCGCCGTCTTCGCCCAAGGCTGATGCAGCGGTCAGGGTATTGTCTTTGGTCCAGATCAGGTGGACCATCTTGCGAACACCTGCGTCCGCGCCTGGAATGCGGTACTCATACGCGACCCTAAAGAACTCCATGCTCTCGAGTACTTCAGCCTTCGACTTGCTGACCAGAAGCTGGCTGAGCAAGGGCATGGCACCACTGAGCTGATTAATGAAATGCAATGCATCGACGTAGTAGCGCCTGGTCAGTCGTAAAGTAATGACCTTTTGAGCGTCTTCAGCGCTAAGTCCAGCCGCTGCGACGTCCAGTGCTCCCTGTCCGCCGGTGGAGGAGCGACGCTTCTTGGTTCGCCGCTCGGCACGCCTTCGAGGAGTGGCCATGATGATGCTCGCCTCTTCCTCGATCGCTTCCTCCTCGTCAAGCTCTTCCTCTTCCTCCTCTTCCTCATCATTGTCGGCAGGCAAGTTCAGCTTGGCCTCGAATTGCTTCAATTGCGCGTCGACGCCAGTCAAGCGCGCTTGCCATTCCGCGTAGTCTAGCTCGCCTCCGTGAAGAACGCCATAAGGATGTGTGAGGACAAGTCGAGTGAGCAGGGCTATAGCCCCCTTGCGGACACTTGAGCTCTTGTCGCATAGGGCTTGTGAAGCCAAGTCTGTAAGTGTGGTTCTCTGAGATGGAAACTTGGCAGGCAGGCTAGAGTCGTAGAGTTGTTGCGATGCGTCAGCCACATCTCATGTTCACATGGGCTCCTCTAAGCGGTCTCAACTCACTCGCAAAGCTTGACGCAGACAGCCACCGCCTTGACTCGCACGTATGAGTTGACATCGAGAAAGCGCTCAAAGAGGAGCTCCCAAAAGTGCTTGACCTGCTTCTTACGGGCCTCAGCGCTGCCGCGCTGAGCATCAGCGTTGCCTTCATTACCGCCCGTGCCAGAAGCCGCAGTGTCGCGCGAGCTGCCGTCGCCTCTGCCAGCTTGGTCTCCTGATGGCAAAGCGTCGTCTGTCATTGTCAATTCCTTGATCATGAGGCCAAGGATCTCGATGAGCGAATTGCGCATGGGATACGACTGCGAGAACACCGATCGTGTTAGCCAACTTCGGCGCGCACAGGCCCCGAGCAATGTGAGTCACCCACCTCGCTGTCCAGGTGTTTCATCAGCAGACTGATATTGCGCAGCATCATCCTAGGCGCCAGCTCCGTGAGCCTGATCAAGAAGCGAGCAAAGCAGCGCGGACTCTTCGTGTCCATTCCGCCGAACTCCCGCGCACCTACATCTCGGAGAATATCGTCGGCCAGGCGCTCGTGGTCATACTCGGAAGCCATCATGAAGAGCAATTCGGCGCTCGGCTCAGCCAGGTGCTCGTAGTAGGCCAATGCCTGAATGAGGCCGCTTTGAACTGCGAATGCCTGCGCGTGGTTCTTGACGCTAGTGCAGATGATGCGGAAGATGCCCGTCTTGACCGCGACAATCTTGAGGTGCGACTCGGTCTCTTGCAGCATGAGTGCTGGTTTCAGGCTGCACGACACAAAGGCATCTCGCGTAGCCGTGGCGGGAAAGAGCAGGGCAGTGCTCAGCCTCAAGCTTCGCAGAAGAACATTGAGCAAGCCTGGAAGGACGCCGGACCAGTCGTAGCCTGTCAGATCGACTGTGCCAGAGTGTTGAGATGCTGCGGCTGCAAGTCGGGCTGTAGTCGCTGTTTTCGCTCCACCACGCCCACCTCTTCTTGCACCTTTAGGCGGTGGCGCTGCTGCACGTTCCTCCCTGGTGGATGCAGCTCGCTCAGCTGTCAGAATGACCCAATGCATAGCAAAGGCAAGTCGCTCAAGCGGAGATGCCCATGCGCGGTACGCATCAGTGCCCTCTGATAGCGAAGCTGTAGCACCATCGATGGCTGAATTGTACGCCGCTGAAAGGCCGTCTAGCAGGGTCAAGCGCTGATTGCCAGCAAGGACGGCATAGTGTTTGACCAAAGATAGGAGCTGAGAGAAAGTGTCATCATTCTCTATAGATGAGGCGTTGCTCAGCGCGTCGATTGTGGATGTCAAGAGCGTGGCGGTCTCGTCGCTTTGGGCAGTGCTGAGGTCGTGCTCCCCCGCCACCGTGTGCTCAGCATCCCGAACCGCGAGCAGCTCGTCGGCGAGCACAAAGGCCGGAAGAGCTGACATCGCGAAGTCCTTCCGGGCGTCGATTGGTCTGTAGTCGTCGAGGAAACGCCTTCAAACGGGTCGATGATGGCAAAATGTACAGACGTTTACTGATCCAGCAAAAGCAAAGTCAACAAAGCGAGACGCACGCCCAAGCGCGCGAGAGCAACACGTAAAGCGGTACACGAGTCTCGCGTGCATGCGCCTCAACAACAATCGCAGAATCAACGCGAGCGCGTGCGCGCTGTGCATGCACGCATCCTTTCGGCTCGCGCTAAACGCGCCGAGCGTACGCGCGTTTGGCGAGGCACGTGACAGGCATAGCCACATTCTTGATTTGAGAAAAGGAGCGCGATCGAGCGCGCTGCGAACCGGCTATGCGAGCCGCCTGGTGCTCCTCTAACACTCAAGACTCGTGGAAAGGATTGTATTGAGGTTTTCCGCGTCCAGGCAGTGCAGCTCGACCAAGTCAAGACGAGCGGCACCACTGACAAGGCAATGGTAAGGTAGTGGGAGCAAAAGAGTGTGTGGTTGTCGAAGATACGTGCGCGAGAACCCCGCGCGCGCCCTTTGACGACTTGGAGACCAAAGGAAGGTAAATTGGATGACTCGAGCTGGGAGTTAAGGAGGGTATATTTGAAGCTTGCTAAGCACGTGGGGTGCAGCAGCGTAAGAGTGATCTAGGGTGCAAAGGACGCGCAACGAGGGTATAGAGCGACAAGAGGATACGCCGATCCCTTGAACATTAAAACGGTCTGAGGACGCTGAAAGGAGGTGAGGGCAGAGCGAGCAAGAGCAAGTCTCAGCAGCGCATCAAGGTTAGAGATGCGGCCGTAGAGCCTGTGGTGAATGATTAGCAGCGCAGAGACGAACGCGAGCGTCCAAGGTGAACAAATGGCTTTGTGAAATGGGCCAGGTATACTGGATGACGAGAAAGAAATGCTGCAAGGGGCGCAATCGGATGAAAAGGGATAGTGCAGAGTCGCATTACAGGACCGGTGGTTTTGCAGAGCCTGCCCGACCGCCGACTGACTGAGGGCATCATCGTGCGACTTCGAAGAAGCTGCAGTGATATAGAAAGTGAGGGAGGCGAGTTCTTTGTCAGAAATCGTCAAAGAGCATTTAGGCAAAAGTCAGCACTCACGTAGTAAAGCGCTTGATCTTTTTCATGCGCTGACGGTTGCGTTCTTGAAGCTGCTCATCGGACGATGCGACGCTTGGGCTGGCTCCCGCTTTTCGGTTCCGCGTGTCAGAGTTATCAGCAGCGCTATTGGACAAATCTGCAGCTTCGCGCTCAGAGGCAGCATCGTCGCCAGAAACCGCTCCACCAGTCTCGTTGCCGCTTCGGGCGGCAGAAGACTCCAGAGAGACCGCGCTCGTCGAATTGAAATTACCATTGCTGGTACTGCCCAAATTCCGACGAGAGCTGGCTTGTTTGCGAGACAGCCTGTTGAACGCTCGGCTGCCAGAGGATGCTGAAGTCGGAAGTTTGGAAGACTCTTGCCTTCTGAGCATGCGGTACGTGTCAACCACGCCTCGAGAGAAGAGATTGTTGCCTTTGCCACCATTGATCTCTGACTCGAGCTTCTGACCGGAAGGCGTGTCAACCATGTCCCAGTCCTCATCTTCGTCGTCAGTTTCGTTGATGGTGCCATGCGCAGGCACGCCGCTGGCGGATAGCGCGGTGCGGCTCTTGTTGCTGTGAGTGACCGAGTCGTGTCCCTCACTGCTACCAGTGCCACCTGTCGCATTCGCCGCTCGTTCACGGCTGTAAGCGATCGAAGTCGGCTGCGTTGAGGTGGAAGCATTAGATGTCGAGCCGTCGCCGCTCGCCTCGCTCTCGAGATGCGCAAGGGCCGCGACCGCATTGCGCGCCGCGGTTTCGTCGTCCTCGCTCTCGACAACAGCGTTCTCCTCTAGATCCTCGCTGGGTCCGCTGGAGAGTATTGAGGAGATGGCCTCTGAGTCACGGCGACCTCGGAACGAGTATCCATCGAAGAGAGACTTCTCGTCTGCCCCTGTGGTCTTCACAACGACTCCAGACTTGTCGGCCCCGACATCGCCTACGCCGGCGGAAGCTGCTGGTGGCCGATCATCAGACGCATCGCCAGTTATGGCTGCTTGGTTCGACATGGAGCCCTCCTCGACGGGATCATCATCCGCGCCGTTGACTACTGGTTGCATGTCCAAGAACGTTTCGTCGAAGTTTTGAGTATCCGCCTCATTGTCAGGGTCGATTGGCGGAATGTATGGTGGAATGTATCGCTTGTGGAAGACGTGTTGCCACTCGATCATGGCAAAGTAAGGGTGCTTCTTGATGCGCGGCTCCTTCATACGCAGTATGGGGTTGCGCTGAAGGAGCCCTCGTAGAACGCTCTTCGTGTCCTGGTCAAGCACACGATCGTCTGGGAACTTGAGCTCGTCGTGCAGCACGCGCACGTACATGTCAGCATGTGTCTCCGCCCAGAAAGGCGTAATGCCGGTCAACATCTCGAAGAGCATCGTGCCGAAGCTCCACCAGTCAACTTCGTAAGAGTAAGCGCCTCCTTGGATGACCTCTGGAGCTAGATACTCTGCGGTGCCGCAAAACGTCGTGGTGGTGTCTCGGTCGTCCGCCCAGCGTGCTTTTGAACCACGAGATGCAAAGGCGTCAGAGGCCGTGGCTGCACCGTCGTCTGAAGCTGACATCCAGTGCGGCTGGTGAGCCTTGCCACCGCTAATTTGAGCACTAGAGTGGGAGCGCTTAGGCGAGCCAGGCGGGGGCGTCGAGGACCCAGCGCGTGCACCGTCTTCGCCGTGGACCGGAAACTCCTTGGACAGACCAAAATCGGACAGCACGATGTGGCCGTCAGCGCCGATGAGGACATTCTCGGGCTTGAGATCACGGTAGATGACGCCGGCGCGGTGCAGCCCCTCGACGCCTTCTACGATCTCTGCTGCATAGAAGCGCGCCCTGTCGCGTCCAAGTCTGCCCCAGCGAGACAACTGCGTGGCAAGGTCGCCTCCCGGATGGAAATCCATCACCAGATAGAGATTGTTCTTGTCCTGCATGCAGCGTCGTCAAAGGATTAGCTAAGATGGAAGCCCAGATATGGGCATGGAGGAAACTTGGGGGTACTCACATGAAAGCTCCACCACAGCTTCACTACAAACGGGTCGATCACATCATTGGCCATGCGCTTCAAGACTGCTTGCTCCGTGAGTGTGTGCTGCAGCTCTTGATGGGCGAGTACATGGCGCTTGTGGATGGATTTCATTGCGAAGAGGCCGTCGCTGGCTTTGTGACGAGCCAGAAGTACCTGCGCAAAGGAAAGCGGCGAGCGAGTCAGCAATAGCAATAGCCATAGTCAGAGCACAAGATCAGTACCCACCTTGCCAGCGCAACCTTTGCCGAGTACGCGAATCATCTCAAAGTCATCCACTGTGACTTTGTCTTTGTCTTTATGCTCGGAGCGCACCCTCCTGTGCTTGCGTTCGGGCTTGGTGTCTTTTCCAGCTGGCGCACTCAAAGCGTTGTTGGAGCTCTTGCTGTTCTCAGCCTGGCCTTTTTGCTGTGCAGAAGCATTCTTTGTTCTCTGCGTCTTGCTCGAGGAGCTCGCATGAACAGAGTCGGGCTTCTCGTGTTCTTCCGGAATGTTGGCAAAGCTTGAAGGTTTGCGACCCACATCACGGGCGTGGTCTGAGTCGTT